TATTTACTCGGCATTTATTCGAATTGGACTCACTTTAGTAGCTTAAGGAGTGAGACTCAAATTAAAAACTGTGAATCATACTGACGGAAAACTGATATCGGTCCTCAGTTTGACAGTTTTCTTCAAAAGATGGCAGTTTGAGCAGATCATGCAGCAGACACATTTGACATGAGACTGCAGCCGTCAGGTGACTCTCAGTGTGAAACTCGTTTTAAAGAGCTGCTGACTGAAACTATTTGTGGACTGATAATGAGGTTTCTGCCACCAAGCTGATAATCTGACAGACGCAAACCGCAGTGTGAAGACAGTAAATTAAAAATAGGTTGAAACAAGTTTGGGAAGGAAAACTTTAGGCAGTCACAATTATAACTAGACTTGCAAGCAGGTGTTTAACGGGGTCCAAGCCTCCAGGGGAAACAACACAAGTTGATCCTGCAGGCCGACGGACACAATCTGAGTTGCAGAGAAAAGAAAATATTCAGTTGAAACAGTCTGGAAAGGCTATTTTGTCATATTTTGTGATTTTGCAATAAAAGCATCTACTAGTGTCCCATTTGCCCCAAATTTGGTACACACCCTCAGTCAGACACAGGCAATTACTGGACCAAGTTTGGAATTCACTGAACAAACCTATGCAGAGATGTGTCCTCACTACCTGTTTTGAGTCCAACACACAGAAAGTCATTCCCTCATAACTTGTGCATTTTTTGATGTATCAAAATTCTTTATACAACTTTTGATCAGGACCATTTGTTGAGTCGACTAGACGAGTTTCACGCAGATCGGACTCACTGCAAAGAAATATTCTTTGTGGAAATGGACGTGGCCTATAGCTCAATTCAGGGAACGTGTGGATATAAGGTTTTTGAATGTGTGGTGTTGAACCTGGAGTTGATTATAGCGCCTGCATTTTTTTGCATCTGAGGTACATGCAGCTGCCTGTACCTGCCCTGTGAATTTCACCTCTCTAGCTCTTATTGTGTAGGTTGCAGTACTGGAATTACCATTATTTGCTGGTGTTTCATGGAATCCATTCTTCCCTCCACCGTGCAAGGTTTCCTGTGCCACTGGCTACAACACAACCACAATGCCTGATAGATCTTCCTCCATGCTCAACAGTTGGGGAGGAGTTCTGTTCATGAAATACAGCTCCTTTTTTCTTCAAACATCCCTTTGCTGATTGTGGCCAAAGAGTTGTATTTTAATGTCATCAGTTCACAGCTCTTGTTTCTAAAACACACACTGTCAAACAGTTTGAGTTAACCGATCGCCAGTTTAAATGTATTAACTCCAACAATTTAAGCATGAAAAAATATTTTATTTGAGTAACTTATTTATTGTCAAGGCAAGGTAAATTGATTTAATTGTGCACAAAACTAGTAAGTATATAATACACGTGCAACATTTCATGTTACCACTACCAAATTGAATTTACTTGATAAAGACAGATAAATATTTTAATTTCATATTTTTATTTATGTGCATGTTCTACTGAAATGAGTTTGTATTTAATGTTTTATTTAGATATTAATAAGAATATTTGCAGGTGTTATATTATTGTGACTCATTAAGAATGAAAACACAAAATCCTTTGTTTTCTGGATGGAGTTCTGAACATGAATGTTTACTACATGTGGCAGCAGGAGGATGTATGGGCTCCTCGTTACCTTGGTAACTCCAATGTGGTTTCCATGGCTGTTTGAGCACAGAAAGATGTAGATGTGGTCCTCCCCCCTACTCATCTTTCCTCCTCTTCCTCCGCTGCAGAAAAATAATTTTTTCCTCTGAGAGTGAAAAATAAAAAGTCTGTGTGTGTGTGCATCTGAGTTGTTCATTCCTACAGGTGACAGGTGCACAGGAGCTCCGCCCACAGGAAGACATGTCATTAGTCTGTAACAGTTGAGCACCTGAACGCATCGGAGAGCAATTCCACCTGTGTGTTAGACAGAAAGATCTTCATCAGCATGGAAGAAATCAAAACTAATAGTACAAATATTGATATATTAGATTTTAATGTTTTCATATTGAAGAAAGTGATTTTAATGTAAAATCTGAAAAGTAGCTGCAGCTGTCAGATAAATGAATACAATAGAAAGTACAATAACATAATGAGCACTGACAGGGGTGGAAGTGAATAAAACACTGATTATCTGGTTATCATGGCCTCCTGGTCAGTGGGTGGATGATATCAGGCAGCAAGTGAATATTTTGTCCTCAAAGTTGATGTGTAAGAAGCAGGAAAATGGGCAGCGTGAGGATTTGAGTGACTTTGACAAGGGCCACATTGTGATGACACAGTTTTCTTAACATGCTGCTATGGACTGTAAACAGTGACAGACACAGCAGTTCTACCAGATACATATATAACTACATCATCTGCATATATGACAGGACTGTGGCAGGTCATTCATATACAAACTAAAAAGAAGTGGATCGAGAACTGAACCCTGTGGACCTCCTGTTTCAGTTTTTAAGAAAGATGATTTCTTATAATTAATAATAACACACTGATCAATACTTCTTCCACCAAACAAAGTAGTTGTTACGCTGACTTTAGGAATAACTGAAATCTGAGCTGTTTTTTTCTGGAGCTGTCAACTTATCTCATGGTCTTCATCAATTGTCCTGCCAGGTTTTGTTAGTTAGTGATCGCCCTCATATAGAGCCTGAGGTTATTGATCACTTTAGAACTGACCTATCAGCATCCACTGAGGAAAACACTTGTTGTATTTCAAGATCTTAAACTTCTTTATTATTTTTCTGTTAATGACAAAGATTGTTGTTTCAGCTACATTTCATCACGTTCACCTTCACATATTCACAGATTAAAATACTACAAACAAGATTTTCCTCTTCAATCACAATATTTTCAGTTTACCTATCTATCAACACTTTTCAGTAAAAACAAATGAAAATAAGATCTGTAAACAACATCAACATGAAAATACATGATATTAAAGAACATTTATATTTCTGCACATGTTCACATGTTTTATGCCTCTGGGCTGTACTGTGGACAGTAATCTGATTACTGCTCAGCTTTAATAATAACTCACACCAGAGCTGTAGTGCTGTTCGTTGCAGGAGCGCACCTGTGATGTGAAGTCTCATTTTGAAGGTTACTGCTGTTCCTACGGTGACAAGTTTACAGACATTAGTAAACTATAGCTGACCACCAGACGCCAGGGGCAGCAGTAGGTGGATAGGACACGTCTTGTGATACCTCTCAGCAATTTAGTTTTTAAAACTTAATTTTCACACTTTATGATTAGCGACCGCTGCAAAGCCCTATTGAAATGAAAGGAATTATTATTATTTTATGCCTAAATAATCGCATTTTTTGTGGCCGCAAAATGCTTGAAAACTCACATTTACATGTGATATGGGTCTCATACATGGGTGTGGAAAAATGGCTCAAAAGCGCCTCCGGAGCATGTTTCACCAATATGCATGAAAATCTCCCATTTGCATGCGTTGTACATTTTAACTAACTCCTCCTCAGGAATTGATTGGATTGACTTAAAATTTGGTCGGTATAATCTAGAGACCATCACAATTAAAAGTTATGCTATTTTGTGACTGTGTGTCAAACAGCGTGTCCATGTCTTGGCGTCGAATTTCAATGCCTCAACATGAAACAGGAAGTTGTCATAACTTCAGTGTACTTTGTCCAGTCTTTACCAAACTTCTCACACAGTCCCACCCTGAAAGCTACATGCCAGCATTGTGTCATAGCCATAGCTCCCCTTCTGGTAACAGGCAGTACGCCTTATATGGCAATCATCATCTGATTTACGTTGCATTTGCACAGTGTGATGTACAAGTGAGTAAGGCAACCACAGCACACCCCAATGCACGCAGACTGCGAGGGCCTGATCTTCGTTACCTGCAGCTTTGTTATTATTATTATTTTATAAAAGACTGCAACCTCCCATCTTACACCAAAACTGACCACGACTACTAGAAACAATAAAATCTCAGAAAAATGGCAAAACCTCAGAACCGGATGGGTTTGGCAAGAAAGAAATTCAACGATCTACTGGCTCCATACTTATTATAAAATGTTTACACAGGCATTTGATAATGGGGAGCTTCTGCACACAATGAATGAGACAAATATTACTCTGATTCTGAAAAAAAATGGAAAGATCTGGAAGACTTAAGACTTTGAACAAAAGGCTCAGTGATACCTCTTCCCCAGAGACATCAATTCATAAATATTAACCCTTACACCAAAATACTGCCTGACCAGACATTTTCTCCTAACTTGGATGAAATCCTTCGTTCTTTGTGCTGGTGTTAGAGAGTTAACAACACAATATCACACAAAATATGTTAATAACACAAAATCTACACAAATGATATTCACCATTTCACATCTCAATCACAAACTGTGTCAATTCTGTAGCAAGAATATCGTATGATGAGGATCCAGAAAAAAATAGACTACCAGTAACTATAACAAAAACTTTTAAGGTGGAATGTTTTCTTGCATGTTACACAATTCATGAGTTAATCAATCAACACACATTGAACGTCAATTTAACTTTGACCACAACATTTCTTTTTATTAGCTCTCTTGCATTACATTCACTTTACTGATGATTGGATCTTCAAGTGCTTGAGAATTTGTTATTAGTTTCAACTGGATTATGTGAACTGCGAATATTCTTTCCTTGCTTAGAGAAACGTAGCGAAAGAAAGAGTGTCATTCCGGTGCGCTCTGGCAGCACTACACCTATAATTAAAACCTTCAAAGTAAGAGACTGAAACATGGAAAAAAAACTTCAAAATAAGAGATTGTTTCAGTCCAGCTGAGATCTAAAGTAAGGCTTTGGTCAGAAACCTTCTTCTTCCTGTTTACTGAGCGTCAGTTTGAGGATGTCTTAGAGTTTGAAGAAGTCTCAAGACAGTCTGAGAAAGTTTGAGGATGTTAGAGACGGTCTGAAGACAATCTGAAACAGTCTGAAGTCTGAGTTTTTGAGTTTTAAGTTTTAGGTTCATGTCCTACAGCAGAGCAGCTTGTGAAAGACGTTCCTGAACTCGGTGTTGAAAGCAGTGTAGATGATCGGGTTGACGGCGCTGTTGACGTAGCCAAGCCATGTGACCACGGAGATGAGGGTCGGTCCGATGTTACACGACTGACACAACACCTTGGTGACGTGAACGACGAAAAAAGGTGTCCAACAGGCCAGAAACACACCTGGAGACAGAGGAGAGACAGATGGTTAAAGGACAAATCATCCTTCTACTGAGGATTCTGAATATCAATATGTATGCATTTGTCGCAATGTTTGACAAGGTACATAAATATATATATTTGAGATGTCAAATAAATCAAATCAAAAGATTTATCTCCAAGGTATTTCAGATGACTTCTTATCATTCAGTACAAGT